CCGAGTACATTATATTTTTTCTATCCTTTACCCACCATAATAAACGCAAGTTCTAGACGGAAGCGGACGACATCGGAAGAATAATATTGAGCCTGAAGGCGCCTCCAAGCATTACTAATCCATACTACAATTTTACCCAAGTAAGTTGCACGCCGAAGTTTGAGTTTCGAATTCTTCAATCAACGAGCTGCATTACTGTCGAATTTTTCATAAACTCTTTTTAGCCTCAAATCATTGTTTACATAACGGACAATTTCAATCACGTTGTTGATTTTCCGCGATTCTATCTGTACCCACATGAATGGAATCGCATGCGGTTTACTGCGAGATACATAGCCCTCATCGAAAGCGAGGATGTCTGCACTCAAAGGGTAAAATTCGTTATTTTCGACGATGAGTTGAAATTCCCACGAGTAGATGAACACTCATTCCCAAAAAATTTGAAGAGGTTTTTACTATTCTGTGTAGTTCCCTTGACTTGAGTCAAAGGCATACTTCGCCCGAGGTGAGCGAAATGTTGAGAATGTGCTAAAAGCATGGAATGAGGTGAACACTTAACAATTCCGAAGCTAATTGACATCGGATGCCCTCGAAACGTTTGCCGTTATGAGAGCCGAACGGTGGTTTCATGTGATCGTCCTTCGTGAGGGCGATCGAAAGCATAAAGCAGTAGTGGTCAGTTAGGAGGGCCTGAGAAATTATCCGAAAGAAAGGCCAGGTCAAGCGCAATTTAGTACAAATCAGCTGATTCGTTCGAGATGGCGGACGCATAGACCGATCACATGAAATTAGTTAATGCTTGAAGCAACTCAAAAGTGCGGGAGACGTCCGAACACGCCCTGTTCCACCTAGGGTTGAAGTGCTGAAGAAAGAGGCTTATTCAGTGTGTGTTTGGCTGTTTCTTTGGCTCTTTCTCGCTTTCAGTCCTCTTCGCTCATCTACTTTCATTATCGAGCAAACTTTGCACATCAACGTTCTGAGTTGCTTTTGAGTGAGGGTAATCTTCTAAGAGAACGTCTAAAGCTTTGCGCTTTCTTTCACACACGGAAGAGTTTTTTCGTCCAATTTCTACACATAGATGGTGCAAGATCGTATGTAGAGAACAAATGTGTTGAAAAAAGGTTGCTTGGAAAAATCATCTTGAAGCAAATTGAAGATTCGGGAGGGGGCATAGCCCTATGTGTGTTAAAGGCAAAGTTCGGGCTCAGACCCACTTAATGAGCCTTTACGGTGGCTAGAAGCGCTAGGTACGCAAGTGTAGAGGTCGCGTCACTTCCCTACTTCGAAAAGCGTTATTTAGACGCTAGGCGCTAAGAACTTTGACACGCTCCACCTGTTGCGACACGCTCCGCCCACCGCTCGATATCTTGTCTGCGTCGCAATGTTGATCTGCTATGCTCTCTCTACTCGACTTCTCTAGCGCTCTCCGCGCTCACATTATCTCTCATCTCCCTGCCGGCCTTTTGAACTTCTCCGCAGCGTAGAGCAAAAGGCTCGTATTTCACGATTTCTTTTTCTCTTTTTCTGCACTGGCGGTCCACTACCTACCCCTACTTTCACATTTGAGTGGAATTAACTCATAATTCAATCCTGAATCTTGCCTTTATGTGGAGGAAAAGTTCTCTCATTTCAGCTCAAATGTCTATGTTTATATCAAGAACCTAAATATATCAATGGACTAATTGATTGTAGAATTGGTTCTAATTAATTGTAGAATTTGAGCCTGAATAAATTAAATCATTTACGAAACGTGTTTTATGAGATGATCTTACCCTCCAAAGTCTTTTCACTCTCATACTTTCTGGTAGTAACGGTTGAAAGGAACGATCCAAATTCAGATATTCGGCAAGGATGCGGAATGCGTGATTCGAAAGTGGCTGCTATCAAATATCGTATATCCTTTCAACTGCACATTATCCTACTTAACAGATATTGGAGGTCTTCCTCCAACAACGGGTGTTTGTAAACCGGAAGTGATTGCCGAAAACTACTATAATAATATTCAACTGGTATGGAACAGTGCGAGTGTCAACGAAGAGGTCAGTTCTAGCAGCCATGTTACTGATCCCCGCGGTAACCAAGTGCACCTCCAATTTTTCCAAGCATTGTTTCATGCAGCTGTATCTTGAGTTACCTCTAGAATGGCCGGTAATTATGCAGCTTGCAATGCATTCTTTTCGACTTCTATTTTTTTGTTTCGAAGTTGTACCCTGCTTCGTGCACTTTATTTTGCTTAGAGGAACAACACCCAAAACAAAACATTATCGTTCCTTTATTTCTGTGACGGCTGGTTGTGATATTTCGAGGGTTAGCTGTCATAGCTCAACTACCAAAAACTTCCAAAATCACCACTTGGAGGCATGCCTTCTTCTGAGATTTATGTATTTTGTAGCGATTTAGGGGGCTGCACATGCCCCAGGATCAATGTGGTGTTTTTCGTGCACACGAATATGCAAGTATTAGGTATGAAGAAGAAGAAAAAAGACGAGAATCTTTCGAAATCTTCTAGGATAAGAGCTTGCTCACCTTGGTAATGTGCTAAGACAATGAAAGATTGAGGGCGGTGAGTAGAGCATGAGATGAGAGAACGCAACAGATGAGATGGGTCCAGACAACTGTCTGGTGCGGAAGGGGGAACATTGCATATGGCTGCAGCTCACTTTGCAATGCCCTAGTGCTGTTGCCGAGCCGTTTGCATGCACGGGAGGACCACATGCGTTATTT